GAAAAAAATGTTTTCTAAGGGATTTTCAAGCTAAATTCATGCAAATTGTGATACAATTTTAGTAAAAATACTCACATTTGACGGTTGAAGCCGAAAGTCGGAAATTCCGGCAGGGATTTTTTTAGCAGAATATGGCAGGAATTCGGAGAAAATGCGTCGGGGATCAGCTGATGGACAGCGTCAGCCATTATCGATCGGCGAGAGTGCAGGACGGAAGAGTGAGTAGAGGGCGCGGTTGGGTGTGTTAGAGCGCAGAGTCAGTGTCAGAGACGGAGGGGCAATGGTGATAATTTTCTGGAATTTCGCGGCTTTCCATCGCCACGCCATCAGCGGAGCGCTCGCCGGCGTGGTCGTAGGGAACGCCCCACCGTCCGGTGAGCACTCCACTGTAAAGCAATGACGCTAAGAAGATCTGGCACTAGTGACTTCTTTGCTAGCACTACATTCACTTCAACCATAGAGACGTTGTGCTTTCAGGCAGCAGTATTGATCTGGCCACATATTATGAAGTTGCGCAAGTGAGCTGATGTCCAAACCTCAAGGCGAACGCCCCTCACTACGCCTCTTTAATCCTTTACCAATACTTTGGAAAAAAAGTAGTGATACATTAGCGACTCTATGGTTTTCATCTCGGTTTTCTTGCATAACTGCTGAATGGAGCAATTGAGTAACCATTCGATAGAAGAAGAAAGGGTATTTAATATTAATATTGAGTAAATACCGTAAATTAAGTAAATACCGCATTGGGTATTTACTGAATATTAATATTAAATACCCTTTCTTCTTCTATCGAATGGTTACTCAATTGCTCCATTCAGCAGTTTTCTGATATACCTATGCAATTAATGCCAATCTGAACTACCTCCCTTGCAGCCAATGTCTTGCACCCGGCTGGCCTCCGCCTAATGAATCAAAAGGCCGCAATAATTAGGGGCCGGCCCAATGATTATCTACCGCGGGTTAAAGGATGACTTGCCCCCTGAAGATGAAGACAGGCCTGGGCTCCTAGTGACGCTGAATTTGGATTTGCCACGGAACCGTGTGGAGGAGGATCCATACCAAGCCACAAGCGCTCTTTATGAATTGAACCTGATTGGCAAGGTCTGTCTGAAGCGTAGAAAACCCACCTTATCCGTATCGTTTTCCACAAAAGGCATAAGGGCAAACGAATGCATCTTTGCATGTATTGTGAAACGCATCGGCATAGTTGTTTTCTCACGCACACTTTTCAAGTTCTATTTTCAGCTGAAATGGGAAATCAAGTACTTAACACTACAGGATAGTAGAAGCTCGTGACTAAAAATTTGATTAAGAATTTGAGTGATTAACCCACTCTCATAAGCTGATTTCGAAGAGTGTTTCGCGAAATTTCCACGACCCTTCGCACGATTTTTGCTTCAGCAGTCCGCGAAGAGCTTCACTCTGCTTTGTTCAAAAGAATGTTGGAGCCTGACCAGCATTGGCGAATTGCTCGCAAATTCATTGTATCCTAAAAGCAAAACAATCATACGAAGGACAAGACCGATTGATAAAATAATATAACCTCCAGAGCATTTTATTGAAAGTCCCCATTGTTTCGGGGACCATGGAATATCAGCCAGTAAAGGAAAAAGAATAGGCGGCGATTGATGACTAGAATTTCCTTCGAGACAGCTGGTTAGTGAAGACTACCAACTGGTCTTCATAGATCAAACGGTATTCCACGCCTGGTTTCAGGTCGAGCTCTTGCTTCAATGTCGGATATCTGCACTGGAAGCATAACCAATGAAAAATCCCTGAAAATCTTTCACTATTCAGTGGGCTGTTTTCAAAAATATTCCATTAAAATCCTTCAGCGATCTGAATGCGGCAATCAGAGCTCAATCGCAGTAGTTGGTAACTGTCGCATGGATTCTATGATAAAGAATCTCGTCTCTACGGATTTTTTCAGTGAGTTCACCATTCCACTTAGCGCTTCCAACGACCGATCAGGGTTGAACAACATTGCTATCATCTTGGTTAAACAATGACAGAACCACCTGAAAGTGGTTGTTGAAATTCACAGCGGCTTCAAAAAAGGTTTTCATTATCAGGGTCCGCACGGTGAGGCGGACCAGGGAAATGCCACAGGTCGCGGCATCAGACGTGAGTGCAAGGGAAAGCTTGAGACCAAACATTTTTCGTGCCTGCTATTGTTGTGGCTACTGGGTGGGCACTGATAGAGACACATTGTGCGATTTGCTTCCCGTTTGCGATGGATGGGCCTACTTCCGCAGAAGTGTGCCGCTATAGTGCGTGACACTGTAGCTTGTGACTTGCTCCTGATATTTCCGCCGGGAGACGGGCAAGAGAATCGTAATTTGCCTCTCCACCGCGCGCGGCAATGGACGCTGCGTTTTCTTAACATTCTTTCACATTCAGCATTCTTGACATGGACATTCATGACTATTTTCAGTTCTGTATTGAATGTTGTCGCCATCTACTGCCTGGAACCATCGTCACTTGCGAGCGCGAAGTCCCCCCGCCCCGCAGCTACACGCCTCCCAGTGCGGTGAATTATGCGATATGTCCACTACCCTTTTCCGCCGCCATTTGATAACGCAATAAGTAATGGGCTCGTGGCAACATCAGTGTCCTCCCACTGAGACAGTGGTTTGGTAGGTCCATGAAAGATTTCTATCGAAATCACTTTGAAGAGGGTTTTCATAGGCCTATCGAGCTCTGTGTGGTTGTATCAGAGGAATAAACTCTGATAAAACCTGCATACTGCACACCTTTTTTTAGGATCGTAATTTTACAGAGAGGTGAGGCGGTGAGGGTTGTTCTTGTCAGTTATTGTGGTGTGGTAATACTCCGCCCAGTGTTATCACACTCCCGGAGACAACTGCAGAACAAGGGATCCAACCTGGTAATGTGAGAATCTGCGAATGGAACAGCCGTGATAGCGCTACTGTATGGTGTATCGAAAAGGGAGAGGGTGGAGACATCAGAAACATCGACTGATCTCCATCTTCTGGCTTCCTTGCCACACTTTCGAGCGGCCAAAGTAGTCATCATTTCTGTAGATGCGAACTTGACCACCCTGCCACGTTATCGTACAGTGTATCTTTAAAATATGATAGGTCTTGTACGCTGCGGAGAAGGGGCGTGTCGGTGAGGGGTGGCGCCGTCAGCCCGTTCGAAATCGATGCTGGAGCAAATAAGTAATCTGTGAGAAAAGACGGAATACGAAAAGACAAGATCCACAAGTCCTTGTACTAGCTGAGAAAAAAAAGAAAAAAGGGCTCGCGCAGCGTCAAACCCATCTCCCTTGATATGCCCCATTACCCGCAACGAACAGGACTGTATCATCATAGTATTAATGGATTGGTTCACATGCAAACCTACTTTGGATAGATGGGATTCTCAAGTTTGTATCCGTATTTGTACATGTATCGGTTGCTCTCTCCGCATACTCTTTCGGCTGATATAGCTCCTGAAGAAAAGAGACAGTATAAAATAGACAGCTATAAACGAAAGAAAAGGAATCTAGGAAGAATGCGTTGTAGCCCACCCTCTGGGCGGATGCCTTCTGCTACAGCTCGAGCGTATACAATAGTGTCCTTAGCATCCATAGGGAAGGGGAATGTTCCTGTTGCAACGAAATACAGCGTGCATCCAAACGACCATAAGTCACACTGCTCTCTCGTATAGTTATCATTCGTCCTGGTTCGTCGCTGAGCATAGGCAGCTGCTAATTCGGGACACTAAAAACAAATAGCTCCAATCTACCAGGCAGGTCTCGCTCCGAGGGTTCAGAAGTATTTTCTCGTCGCAGCTACCGACTGAGCAGTTGAAGGGAGAAGAAAAGAATTCGGGAAGAGAGAAGGAAGCAAGAAAAAGAAAGAAGGAGGAGGAAAAAAGGAAGGGTAGGGGAGGCTCCGCGGCTGACAAGTATCCTGACACGGTGCGGGCTGAATGATTCCGTAACTGCAGTTAGGAGCGCACCTTTTTTTGCGAAACTGCCCAGTCTACGGAAATGGAGCTGGAGTGGTTACGTGACAACTAAAACTTTTGGTGGGGTCCTGCCACGATAGGCCAGAGCGCAGAGCAATAAGGGACTGCTACAGCTAAGGCATCGTGAGGTAGAAAAACATTATGCGAGCCAGGAGATGAGCTTTTTCGAAGGGAGGGGACACCGGGGTGGATGAGCCACTTAGTATACGTGAAAAGTTGGAATGTGAAAGGTCAGATTGGCCATAAATCACCATTCAGGCAAGAGAGCGCAGAGAGAAAAAGACAAAGTTGGCGCCATTAAAGGGATTGAGTTTAGTTGTCGCGTAGGCCGCCGGGTTGCCGAGTGTAGTGATGCCCGGCTGCCGTTTCCATACTTAGCCCGTCTGCAAACCTATTCATTAAGGACACATTAACCTCACATATGGGAAAGGACACCCTTCGCAGATAAATTTTCACCCTCGTGAAGAGAAAGGGTACACGTCGCAGAGCGGTCTGCTTCTGCTCGTCTGAACCTTCCCCGGGATACTGATCCTTCCTCTGGCTAAAGGCTTGAAGCCTTGGCAAAAAGGATAATTTTTCTCATCTCGGCCTGTTTTTCCTATACCTGCCGCACCATTCGAGCGCACGCACTACTCGAAAACCCTGCAGTCCGCACTAAAGGGATACACCATTAAAAAAGCGTAATCTTCCGGGTTAGCAAGTTACTTGTGCAAAAATGCTTACGGCGGGAACCCTCGTCCCGAAATTGTTTACAATCCACGCGCACGTGGAAGAAAACACGAAGGCATGGAGCTGTGTGTTCCGTTCACGAGCGCATGTGTATACTATGGATACTGCTTTGCGTGCTTGTGGCGCCAAGCGGATGTGAATTCATGTTTAGCGCGGTTAGATTATTCCCTGATGCAGGCGAGTCTTTATTTTATATGTCCAATCTGTCTCCTTTCAGTGAAAGCAAGAAATGCGTAAGAAACTAGCCTTCGATTTGGGGCAGTAAAGGGACAGCAGGGCGCTGATCCCCCTGTTTCCAAAAATTCGATAGGTATGCGAACCTCACTAGGTGGAAGAGCGGACAGAATCAGACCTCTCGTTATAAGACGCCAGGAACGTTTAGCGCCCGTTTCGCACGATTTGGTACGGGGCTGATCCCTAAAGCTAGCCGCCATTCTATCGTCCTTGATTTTGTTGGTGAGAACCGGAGTGTTCGAAGTCCCGACATTATTTTACGACGGTAGGAGCTTAGCATATAAGGTGTTTCCATTCGGAGCAAAAGTTGTTGGTGCGCATATAATCCTTTTGTAAAGACCATTCTTTAAAAACCCGGTCATAACGGAGGGGGTACAACCGTGCTGTTGGGAACGGAAACTCCGAAACACCCATATCACAGAACTTGAATAAATATTGTGACCTACAATTTAGAAAATCAACAGAAATTCTTGTAAAGGGACAACACGAGAGGAATAGAGATGTTACCTTCTTCCTTTTGTTGACCCAGGGAATACCAAAATATTAAGATGCTTGATATCACGATGAGCTATGCCACGCTCTTTCAATGTCGTTAGAGCAGAGACTAAACACTACAAACTGGATGGGTACCTGCTCCTGATATTAAAGTACTAATATCATACCCTGAGTCACATAGGAGATCCAGATTACTGACTTCTTAGTGCCTCGGGCAAAATTTCTAACCTTCTTCAGCAAACTATCAAGAGAATACAATGCACGTTCCATAGCAAATGAAAAGCGTTCAGGGGAGTGTGCCGTTGCCATTTTGTGTCGACTGCCTATGTACTGAAAATATCATTTCAAATTACGCTTGCATTGCATAACAAAAACAGGGGAATTCATGAGAAAAATATTCTTGCGCGTCAACGTATTCATGTTTTCCGGCTTTTGTTCACCCAACAATTTCTTAGGCTGCGTTCATATTTTGTGTCAGCTTCTTAAAGACGGCCCCCGCGCTCAAGTAATTCATGGTCGTCCTTCCTGTGCTCCTTCCTGGTGCAAGTCCCACTCTCGCTAACTTCAACATGACGAGCGAGCAGCGTCTACGGCTGCTGAAAGTTTCTAGTTCTAATGCCAGCACGCAGTCAGTTGGTAACCGGCGCCCACTTGCTGGATGCCCTCTGACGGAGAGCCGCTCAGCTGTTCTTTGTTGGGGCGGCGGGCATTAATCGGAATTTCAAGTCTTTCCCGAACCAGCCGCTCCGTAGCCCATAAAGCAATGTTGGGCTCTCCTTTATTGCAATTTTATCATAGTCCAGCTTGCACCCATCTCGAAAGGTAAGACGTGTAAAAATCACGAGTGATGTAATTTTCTTGATGCAACAGCTCGACTGCACTGAAAGATGCACGCTACCGTACCCCTCATTCGCTGTTTTGAGTTTTTGAAAGTTTCTTTTTCATTACAAGTTTTCCGTTGGCGTTTTTTGTTGTTTTTCGTATTCTTTTCTTTGCATTGGATGATATCCACTACTGGGAGATGCGAAAAGGGATTTGTGAGCCAGGGGTTGCACAGAGACCGCAGGGCGGTGTGACTGTCAGGGAGCGATTTTGTTTATGGTGTTCTTGAGGACTCTTCTTGCTTTTTTCTTCTTTGGGGAATTACTTATCAGCTACTGTTTCATAATGAGCAGCAACTATCCATGACACTTTATCGCGGGAACTATCTTTAAGCGTTCCGGGCGATAAGAAGGAGTGGGTGTCAATCATGCGTTTCGTGAGAAACACCAACGCTCTGACGGAAACGCCGACGGCTTGATTAAAAAGGACAGTATAGGTATAGCGTCACCCTCAAAGCACTCAGAACATCAATCCCCATGCAACAACGCTTAATCAATCTCTATGCCTCTCAAAACCCCGAGCTGCAAAGCATGAACGCAGCCCTGTACCAAAGTAGGACAAACACTTAATACTTCTGATATAGCATAACCTTGTCAAAGAACGACCAAATAATGGGCACAGTTGACAAACTTGAAATTAGTAACGCGTACCTTCACAATGTTCGGGGCACCAGCACACCGACGATAGAACTCGACCTCTTTTTGAGCAGCACGAACTTCCTTGTCGTCCCTGGCATGTTTGACAGCAACTCTTCGCCCTGACTGAGTCCTTCCCGGATGCACCTGCACAAAAAGAAGATTCTAAGAAGAAACAAAAGAAAAGAATGCATAACGGGATTTTTGAAGTTCTCTAAATGTCCCCAGTGTTTCGTTTCCTCCGGATCCTACCGGTACTGGAATTGAAGGGTGTATTGCATGAAGGCTCGACGGGAATCTAATCGTATATTGTCTCGACCGTTGCACATGACGGGGCGTGGCAGCGGGGGGGAGGTAGACCTGGCGCTGCACCAGCTCTTCTTTTTTCGGTCGGCAAGCATCGAGACTGTATCACGTCGTTTACCAATCGTTTTTCACACGTTGTTATCGCTTAGCCGCTCCAACACTGGTAGAAAACAGGCCGGCAGCGCGCCAAACTCAGCCTCCCTGCACACTTGCGCCGCATTGCGTCCTGTGGGAACAAGACTGCACATCGTCCCGACTCTCCGACGCGACAGTTGGGATACGGCGCGACGTATAGTTCAAGAAAAGTGGCGCCTCTCACAGTGAGAGGGGAAGGGCCTATCCCCAACCCAACCTGCACTAGGGACACAATAGGAACTTGTAAAACTCGCTATAAGTCGAAACTCACATTTCCATATGCACCGGTCCCGATTTTCCTGCTAAAATCGATGGAGTACTCGAGACCTTCCGAAAAGATCATATCTGATCCTTCAAGAATGTCCTCGTCGAGCACTTCTCAACTCCTCTGGACAAGATTCAACGTTAAAATCACGATTACATACAAGTACTGCGCATGTCAATACCGAACCAAGATGTCATCTAGATAATCTGGTTGATATCGCCGCAATACGGTGCGGCGGTGTGAGGAGGCGTGGAACGAGTTCATCCACGGCATTTTCATCACTGGCTGTTTCCCACCCAAATGGGTCACTGTTGGTGAAAACGCAGCTGTGGGTGAGTTTTTGACGCCGCCTAGAACCGCGGACCGTATTAGCGACCAAGGCCAAGCGCCATCTTTGTGATCATCACAAACAGGGGGGTCCCGTATTTTGGCGCTCGATGGAGGGAGGGGGGGTCGTAGAACGGCGCATGGCTGCGATGTCTGAGGTGGAGAGAGCGGTGATACACGGTACAAGTAAAGCAGAAGCTCAAGAGTGGACGTAAGATGAGACAAGCTTTTTCCACCTCCTTCTTCCTCACAAAAAACTTCAAGACACTTCGCCCACCAACCCTCCCCATCTGGTCTAGGTAAATCCCAATCCACTAATCCGCAAAATCTAGAAAAGAATCCATTGCAAAAGCTACCTATGAAACCGTAGAAATTGAATCCTGAGCAATTTCCTCACAACAAAACCAAACTCAACAAAACAAAATCAAACTTAACAAACAAACAAAGTAATTCACAATAAAAAGGATAAGAAAAAACTCACCGCTCAGCTGGGAACCGGAACTATGGATTACTTTTGAATTTTGGCTGTTCGCGGTCAGCGCGCTCATACAAGCGCAATTGGTGGCGCGCTATTTTACGGTTTGGAGCCAATTTCAAGCAAAACACGTAAAAGTACCCTCATTTGAACAGGCCCATTAATTCGGTTGAAAGTGACACGCTATCGGATGAGGGGTAAGTGAGTAAGATGAGTAGAGCTAGGTTGCTCTTATCAGCGCTGAATTGAAGCATTCAAAAACGTTTTCCGAGTTCCAGAGATTGGTGCGGCCGTTGTGATCATCTTTGTGATCACACTCACTAGAGTGTTAATTTTTGGCGAACCGCGAGTCGCTAACGCGTTTGGACGTCATGGCAAGCTTCATACCGGACTTCGTAAGGAGAAGAGAACCTGTGCGGAAGTTGAAGATTTCTACTTTCCAGCAAGGTTTTAATTTCCTTCCTAGACCTAGTATTCGAAAAAATTCCCCGTTGTGATCATTTTGTAATCACCGGTTGCCCGCACTGACAACCGGAAATCAACGGACCTCCGAGCGAGGCCCAGAAACCTCGCAGTTGGCTCCGAGAGGGGGACTTGGTAGTTGACTTCTTGAGAACAGGCCATGTTTTCGTCAAGCATATCAGGTAATAGGCCATTGGGCGCCAATTGGCATCACATATGCAATGCGCCATGCATGGGGCTTTCACGCAGGTGTTTGAAAGGTGTAACTTCTAGATAGGGCTTCCCAATTGCAAGCAAATGTGCTCCTACGATCAGAAAAGTCCGGGAATGTACTTTCATCTGTTTATTAATGTCGGTCACGGTCGTGAGTCGCTTATTTTTTGTTTACTCACCATTAAAGGTTGCCCTGTGGGCGTGGATCGTAGCTCCTATCATCGCCGCCTTCCTGCGTACGTAATTGTCCAGTAAGTGCCGCTACAGTGCGCCATGCGGCGCAGAGTGCTGAACGGTGCTCTGGGAAGTACGTAGGTTATTTCTGCGGCGAACGCCCCCCCCCACGCTCGACAGCAAAATTTTGTAAAAAAAACCAGAAACTTTTTGGGAAAAAAATAGACAAAGCGATGTAGGAGGTTGGAAAAATCTAGGGGAAAGGTGGGTGGGAGGTAACGTTGGGGAGGGGGGTCGTACATTTTTTTGTTTTTTTTTCTTTTTTTTTTTGAAGATGGATGATTAAGGGGGGGGTCGTATTTTTCAAGAAATGGAATCACGAAACGCGGCAATGGCCTGACTGTATAGCGACTATATCAACTATGAATTCTCGTTGAAGGGCGAACAATTGGCAAGGACCATACTTTCGGGAAACAACAACAAATTATTGGAGAGAGAAGTGATACTGGAAAAAAGTGGACGAGAGGAGGTGAAAACGCTTGAAGGTGCATGTTACAAGCTTATTGCGAGTGCAACTTATGGTCAGAAAAAAAGAATCATAACACCGTAAAGACCCCCTGGCAGTCTCATTGTACGAGTTGTCAGGGCCAACTCGTTTTATGCCAGCAAAGCGATATTCTATCGCCTCTAGATCACTTGTCGTTTCCTCGCTTCATCCATTCCTAATACCATCTAACAGAGAAAAACAAGTCCAAAAACTGAACTCGTGACATAAAATAGTCTTCGAGTTTCGGTGGGCGGGGCAACTAGGGAGGCGTCAAAACTGCCACTTGTAAGAGCCACAGCGCCTCCGTTACTCGTTGCGAAGACGCGAAAATGGGACGACCTTAGAGAGTGGGGATCAGACTACCTGTGTAAGGAAGGACGCCCACGAAATGGTTTAGCGCGAGGGCTGTCTTTGGACTGAGATGTAAAGATGCCATATTTAGGACATCACGGATGGACATTCCGAGAAACACTGCACGATAAAGAAAGATACTGAAAGTCCCACTCTCACGTACTCTTTGCCGCATATTAGAGACATGCATCAGTTCAGCAGGGAAAAAAGAGGGCTCGGGCGACGAGGGGGGAGGGCATCTTTGCCCCTTCGCTGCTCCACTGTTGCGGTTTACAAGTCTCACTCTGCTGAAACCTGTGAACTCTTGTGAATTTGGGAGCAAGCTCGTATAGCCACCATCATAGAACCTGTCAGCTCTTGTAAGCTCATGAAATAGCTCTCTAGATGGCTCACCACGTCGATAGCAACTACCAAAAGTGCAAAATGCCCCCCCCCCCACTTCGTAGCCGTACTGAACCAAAAAGAGGAATGTTGACTGCAGAGAGAATCGCAAGGCATATCACTATCACAGTCGATAATCTCGCAATGAAAAAGTACGACGTGTTCCAAGAATCGACCAACATGAGAACAAATCATTGGAAATTACATATGACTTGTGTGTCTTTCCCCTAGGAAACATTCATCGCGTCATCGCGAAATTTTGACCGGAAGGTTGCAAATAATTTGCGGCGCATTCGAAACTGGGCTGACGGCTATTTCCAGAGATGAAACTGCCGTCAATATGGAATCCTATTACCAGAAACATGCAGAAAGCCCCCCCCGCGTTTGATAAGTTCCACTGCAACTTTCTCATGCTTTCTTGTAACGTCGCGTCGTTTCTGAACCCTCAGAAAGCATGAAATGGAGAAAACCGCAGCTCAGCGAGTCATAAAAATGTAATATCAGTGAAGTACCAACGCATTTTTGAGTGAAACAATTTGCATACGAGCTATTATCCAGGAAAAAACCTTCAAAAAAGCACCCACTAAAATCAATGCAACTGCAGGCGCAGAGCAGCGACGAACGGGTGAGGGAGGGGAGGGGGGATATTCACTTCTGCTACTGCAGTTCCCGATTTACTTGTTTCACTCTGTTGAAAGCTTGTGAAGATGGAGGAAGTTCGTCGAACTACCATGGAGAATGGTGTTTGTATGACACTTTATTGCTTTACAAGAGCTGGCAGGTATATTTTCTACACGAGTTGACAAGTACTCTCTACGAACTTTGACTAGTATTACTTCATGGATTAACAAGATTTTACAAGTCCCTACTGGATGAATTAACAAGACAATGGGAAGCAGCGAAATGCCCACCCCCTCCCCACCGTCCCCAAATGGCCGAACTGCGCCAGTGCACTAGTACCAATGCACTTCCGCAAAAAAAAGCCAGAACGTGCTTTCAAGTCAATGAAGATGGTATTCAGTGCGTTTGAGGTACCCTTGAATTTCAGGGAAAAAAGCAACAGACTGGTAGTTATCATAACAAGCGATTAGTAGTCCGGCGTTGACCATTCCCTTTCCGGGATGCGCCAGGAATTCCGATCCAAGGACTAGATTTCAAATGCGATATGGAATATACAGTGATTGCGGGAGCTAGCCCATGTATAATTTAGTGTTTTCATCCTCCCAGACGAGTCTGGTACTAATTTAACGACCCGAAGATATCAAAGCTTTGGTTGGCTGGCAGGAAGCGGTACTCTCGTAATTGTAGGTAAGAGGGCAAGAGAAATCGTGATTTGCCGTCGCGCGCGCACGATTGGCGGCGGCGTTTTCTTTTACTTCGTGTAACTCTTCGACTGGTAGCACCGGAACTCATTTGTAGACCGTATCACAAGACAATCATGACTATTTTTCGGTTTCAACTGCCCGTTGTTCGCCATCACGACCTAGTGAAACCATCGTTATTTTGCGGGCGTTGACGTTCGCGCGATCGAAGCTCATCAACGCGCGGCGAATTACGATCCTCTGTTGTCACATATCCGTAATGTACCATGGTTTCGCGCAAGCAAAAGGCGCCATTGCCACTACGGTACTATCTGTTATAGTAATGAACAACGTACAATCTACCGGAAGGGATTAAGGCATTGTTCAGTCTCGACCGTTGCGACTGACCGGCGGTTGTGGCAAATACAAAAATAGTATGATCGGAAGAATTCGCCAGACCGCTTAGTTTCGTGCGAATCGCGCGGTTTCGGTCGGTTTGGTGCGAAAAGCAATAATTGTTGTATGATTTTCGCTATAGCAAAAAACGTCCCGGCAATCGAGCAGCGTAGCGAACAAACGGTCACGGTGTGGCGAAACTTCGTCGATTCGTATGTTCAAAAGTCTTTCGTCCAACCGGCACATTCTCTTGCACTCCGTCAGTCGAACGTAATCGAAAGCTTTTTCGGCGAACCAGCACGTCCAGAGAAACGCTGGACACAGATTGTGAACCAATGCTTATTAGCCAAGAGCTGTTTTTTGTTGCCAATTGACCCTGACACTGGATTTGACATGTTAAGGCTGCGGTGTATCTTTTTGTGGAGTGTCCGAGCCTCTCTCAAGATGTCCG